ATTCTGACAAGTCTAAATCTACAGGTAATGTAAGATTGTATTCTAGCAATTCTATATCTACCGGTAATGTAAGGTTGTATTCTGACAAGTCTAAATCTACAAGTTATGTAAGCTTGTATTCTGATAATTTTATATCTACAGGAAATGAAAGATTGTATTCTGACAAGTCTCAATCTACCAGTAATGTAAGTTTGTTAAATCAGTCTCGAACCTATTTTACATCTATCGATTTGACATGCCTAAAGCATAGCCTATCTTTGAGGTACGTTTCTGTATACTAGACAGTATATACAGAACTCCCGACCTTAACTACAGTATGAATCTTTTATCACATACATGGCGTGTCTATATCAACTTTCACAAGTCGGAAGATTGGGAATGAATACCAGGTAATCTTGCACGACGGTGGACTGTCTGTCGACATGGTCACTGCATTGTTTACATAGATATGTAGGTATGGGATCAACTGGACTCTCAAGGCTCTCGGTAGGGTTTGGTGTAAGGAGTATAGATCATAGTTTGATAACGTCATAAATACACGGTGTATTTGAAAGCTTCGAGTGTTCTACACGTTCTCAGTGAGCTGATCATAGATCATGATCAAGTGCGTGGTTTGCCTGGGACGATCAATGTTAAGAGCAGGGTGTTTATTTCCTAACATTGTAGGTTTTGCTTTGAAGGGTTTGAGTGGTGCCAGTGTTCACAGAGAGGGAGGTCGTCGATCATACTACTATCTATAATAGATCGATCATTTACTACAGGAGGATGAGTCAGTGAATTTTGTAACTGCAGCGTATTATTAAGGTTTTACCCCAATTGAATATGTGTTCAAAATTGTAATATGTGACGCACATTGGCAAAGTATATTGTTATCTCGAGAATAACGGTCTATGTCTGACACAGTTTAAGGAAAAAATAGGAAACTTTTAGGGACAATTAACTTTTTGATTCTGAAAGTTCATTAATCTGTGGGAGGCACGGGTGGCACAGTCGTCTAGGGCGCCGCGATTTTCTGTGCAGAGTTGCGTCCTTTGGGCACGCCAGAAACCTATGATTGTGGGTTCGAATCCCGGTTCGCCCCGATTATGTTTCTAGGTTTATCAGCATCATACCCGTGCTCGTGGGTTTCACCGAAGTGGTAAACGTCTGAGACCTGCATCACTTCGGGCTTTCCTCCCACATTAAGCTGACACGCCGTGATATAACTGGAATACTGTTAAAACGGCGTTAAACCCAACTGACTGACTCACTCATTAATCTGTGGGGGGATACGGGTGGAGAAAAGTCGCCGTACAGAGTTGCGTCCCTTAGGTGTGTCAGAAACCTATGATCGTGGGTTCGAACCCAGATTCATCATATGTTTCCGGGTTGTCAGCACAATACCCGTGCTCGTAAGTTTCTTCAAAGTTTTAAACGTCTAAGACCTGCTCCCACGCTAATAACTAAAATACTAACGAATATTATATTTGTGATAACACTTCTGTACATTACCAAGAAAGTGTTATCCCAAATATAACATTTGTTACATTTGACCACTTTCTAAATGGCATTGTATGTTCATAGCTTTCGGCCATGGGAGCCGTGCCAATTTACACTTGTCAGAAGGGTACACAAAGTACGTGATCTAGACTACCAGTTGTCGGACTTTCATTTTGTGGAACTCTCGGTGGCTGAGTGGGTTAGATCGCTGACTTTGTGTGCTGGCGATAACATGCCTCACTCTGGCGGTGTGGGTTCGAATCCCGGACGGGACTCAACCCCAAAAATACTTTACCATGAAAGTGTTATCCCAAATATAACATTTGTTACATTTGACCACTTTCTGAATGCCATTGTGTGTTCTTAACTAAAATAATAATAACAATAATAATAATAACTCGCTCACTCACTCACCTACTGCGATAAAGAATACTCTTTTCAGGCTGAGAAACAAGACTTATTTATTTGACCTTGTCTATTTTGTTACAGAAATACGAACCCCTTTCTGAATAATGCCACAACGCTTTTTGAACTATACTAGCCACATAAAGAAACTGTGCACGGAGAAAATATATTCTGGATTGAAATACAACACAGCAAGAACAAAATGATGCAGACGCTGTAGCAGCTGAATGATCGGACTATAAGAAAATGTCAACAGGGCCTGAACAACATCTGTTACGATGACGTCAGAAGATCAAAATGGAGTAGGGGGTCAAACGACAAAGTCACAAAGTCAATAACGGGTATGACCACCCTGTGCGTGAATCACAGCAGTGCATCGGCGACGCATGGAGTCCACCAAATGGGCATGGAAGGCCTGGGGAATGGCCTGCCATATCCTCCTCAAATCCTGTGCCAAGTCACGGACGTTATCTGGAGGATGTGGAAGACGACGCAGACGGCGCTCCATTTCATCCCACACATGCTCTATTGGGGAGAGATCTGGAGAAATTGCAGGCCATGGCAGTAACATGACATTGTTATGGTGAAGGAAATCCATTGCGACCCTAGCCGTGTGAGGACGAACGTTGTCCTGTTGAAGTGTCAATCCCGGGCCATGACGTTGCAGGACAGGAATGACCACAGGCCTCAGAATCTGATCTCTGTAGCCAACACCGGTGAGATTGCCCTGAACAACCATCAAAGGGGTTCGGTGCCGTGCTGTTATCCAACCCCAAATCATCACAGAGCCACCTCCAAAACGATTCCTCTCCACAATAACGTTCTCCCAAACGCCGGTAGACACGTTGGCGCCCGTCACTGTGGGAAATGTTGAACCTCGATTCATCTGTAAAGACAACATTTCTCCACCATATTCGAGGTTGGCGAACATGATTTCGACACCATCTTAGACGGTTGACTCGATGATGGTGTGTCAGGATGGGAGTTATGGCAGGGCGTCGTGGTCGAATCCCGTACTGACGTAAACGATTCCTGACAGTGTTGGGATGGATACGGCGCAGTCCAGGAATTGTCTGGGACGTCGTTACTGCCGTTTGGAACCTGTGTCGGAGATGTGTAACTCGAATCCATCTGTCCTGTCTTGGCGTCGTTACTCGGGGACGTCCTGAACGTGGGTGGTCGGCAACGTCATTTGTGTTCTGATAACGCCTCACCAATGCCGATATCGTGTTACGATGGCATTGGAAATGTGTTGCCACCTGTTGTTGCCTCATTCCCGCTCGGATCATTCCAATGGCTTCATGACGCTGTGCAGCTATCAATCTTGGCATGATTTGCTTGTGATATGCTTGTGTCTGCGCCTGAGAAGTTTTGAATTTTTGAATGAACACAGATCATGCTTTCCAAAGTGACAGCGAATTTTGAGTTGCACATGCTGTGTACAGCTGCACAGGATGCACGTGCAGTAACACATTGCTCGTCCATAGGCCCCCATCAATGACGTCATATCGCATGGCACGTGCATGAGCGTTTGAATGTCTCCAATAATTGCTGTGTTCAAACCTATCTTTCATATATGGACGGTGTGGCCTTATATCTATATTTTCTCCGTGCACAGTTTCTTTATGTGGTTAGTATATATACAAAATCAACGATGTAGATGAGTGAGACGATGCAGTTGTAATGCTAATGGCCACGTGTATACAAGGTGTACACGCTGGGGGCCTGGGAGACACCAGAAAACACTGATTGATGATCACAAATGCATGGCCTTTCATCGCCGAGTCGTTAGAGAATAACTTCTACGGTACAAAAAATTACGTTTGCTGTCATTGGTGAATTAGGTTTGTCGTGAAAATCATTCTCCTATATCCTTGCCCCTTATTGTAATCCTATTTATATTTTACCCACTGGGAGTAAAAAACTAGTATTCATTGTTTGTTCAACGCCGCACTCAGCAATATTCCAGATTTTTTAGGCTGATCTGTAAATAATCGAGCCTGGACCAGACAATCCAGTGATTGATATCATGAACATCGATCCACGCAATTGGGATACGATGACGTGCATTGACCTAGTCAGCGAGCCTGACCATCCGATCCCGTTTGTCGCCCCTTACGACAAGCATGGGTTTGCTGAAGACCTATTCTACCCCGGATCTTAATAATAAGTAACAACTATGCATGTAAGAGGAGGATGAATGGATCGGGTGGTCAGTATTGGTGACTTGGTTGATTGTATGTCACCGTACCCCGACGGCATGAGATGTTGATCATGATATCAATCACTGGTTTGTCTGATCACGACTCGATTATTTACAGGCCGCCGTCGTAGAAATGGAATATTACGGTGCTAAATAACAAACAGATAAACCATTCCTTATCATATTTACGATATTGATTAAAACATGTGTTAGCTGTGATAGCAATTTGATTTACTAAACTCTCAATACTCAATATAATGGACGGCCGCCTCCGTGGTCTAGTGGTAGAGCGTCCGCCCGGCCGCGTCATACAAAAAGACGTTAAAAGGTGATACTTGTCTGGCGCTCGGCAAAAAGGGGCTAAAACAAGGATGGTTCGGCTCGGAGTCAGTATACTGTGTCTGAGTGGGGTATTCGTGTTAACATGCGCATGGTATCTCAGTAAGCTAGCACTATAAATCGGCATTAGTCTTGACTAGTACAAACACACACACACACACACACACACGCACGCACACACACACACACACACACACGTCGCAATTTAAGTGCAATAATCTTGGACGCGACGTTAAACCAAATTTCACCTCATCTCACCATTATAATTCTTTTGACATTCCTCAATACCATGGACGCCTACGACACAACAGTGCCACGTGACAGCGTTCTGTCTCCTGCTAAATACCGCAGGTAAGGATCCCAGTAACAAAGTAGGCCTTAATTCCAGCCTTGGCTTATGCTGGTGCCCCATGTAACTTATGATTTATCCTTTGCTGAAATCAATTGCATTTTATTGGCTTATCAATAAGGCATAACGAAACTAATCCCACTTTCCTTTGCCTCTCCTGACCAAACCTCACTAAGCCACTTTTCTATTCATACCGGATCGGTAGAGTTAATAAAACGAGCGTCGCAATATTTACTGCTTTGCAATATTATTCTAGTGAGCTATGGTGTTTTGTCAGCGAGACAGAAGGCGCTACCAAACGTTTGTTCGTGTATGGACTTATCATTACAAACAGCGACCCCGGTCGCTTTTCAATGTGTGCCCTCTCGCCTAGGAACATGGCGAAACATACACGCCAGGTACAGCTGACTGTGAGGTATGTCAAAGCCGATACTCGTTGATTGTTGATAATACAGTGGTGATATAGACTACCGTGTATGTTGCAGGCTTGCAATTGACAGATATTAACCGCCACCCGGGCCAGACCCGCGAGAAGAAAGTGATAAGGGACGCTGTGAACAGTAGATTTAAACTGAGAACGTTGTTCAGCGTCGAATTGCTTGATAACATTGTTCATTGGAAATATATACTGTTTATTGGGACTAAGTGCTTACCCCCGCTGTGTTCTAGCAGTTGGTCAGATGGTCCAGTGATTGTGAAACGTTTCGGGATTTACAGAAATTTGAGAAATGCGGCAAAAACGGTCAAGCAGTGCCCCTGTGAGGGTCCTGACCCACAAGCGCCTGACAGCCACCCCCCTCACAGTTACAGGTAAGGATGACAGTTGTTGAAGTCAGGTGTTATTCAGATATCTTGTGTGTGTGTCTCGTGGTATTCAGATCGATTGATCGATACGGGGATCAGCTTAATGTGGTGAGAATTAGTGTACGCCAGGGCTGACTTCTACCTCCTTATGCCTTATTGTTTTTAGATCGTTATTGTGGAAATAACGGACCTCTTTAGTAGCAGCGTTGCCCTTTGTCACATCAGAATGCCTCATTCTGTAGAGTCAGGTTTCATTTTTGGTTACAATATTACTTTGGTTTCTTTTAGAAATACGTTTTGTTATTTGTTTGACATAGACTGATTGCTAAGCAGAAGGTGCGATAACTGTACGAATGAATACTATGCAACAACGAATACACACCTTTATTGTGGCACGTAGAGATAGCTAAGTTATTAAGATGTATATACATGAATTATGTTTAACTCACCCCTTAAAGGACTACAGACAACATCTATAGATCGGTTGTGCACCTGATTTCAGTGGGACATAATTAACTTAATTGTCTACGAACATTTTGTTAGATGTCATGATACCTTTGACAAATACCTATTTAAATGATGAGTAGATCGATGCGCATGACGTGAACCATTGGATTGTCTGGTCAAGACTCGATTAATTAAAAGACCGCCTTCATATAGCCGGAATATTTGCTAAGTGCGCATTTTACAACAAACAGTGACACAAACAAACGAGCATTTCTCCAGATGGGAATAGGTGTGTTTGATTAGTGTGAAGATGATGACCTGTTAAATCAAGAGATATATTGCAGTGGCCATAGATTGTAATACCTCTGATAAACGTACCATTGTCAGTGTTGCATGCATTTAGAGATATGTCGTCAGTAAACTTATAAATTATTAATAACGAAGGGCTGAAGAATAATAACTTGCCAAAAAGTAGACAAATGGAATTATTAAACGAGAAGAATCGTTAAGTTTCTGGAAGTTCTGTATTCTTCGTTTTCTGCGCGTAAACAATGGCTTATACAGTTTAGAAGACATATACCATAGATTATCATGTAAAGTTACATGTGGGTTTTTGATCTTGATTGTAATATATGTGGCTGGGTGTGCATCTACATATATCCGATAAGAAGGCGCTTCATTACGAGCACCGATCGCATGTAATCCGTTAATACTGGATCCGAATGTGCCTTACAGGCCAGACCATTTTGTAATAGATTTATCTTTCTGATACTTCTGTCATGTAATTAACTCTTTTGTCAGTGTCTTTCGGCCGGACGACTGGCCCGATTGTCATGTTAATGGGTTGCACCACTGCGCGCATGATAGCTTTGTCAGCCAGGCGTCTGTATAACGGCGTAACATATCCCAGTTCTTTGACCAGATGAGTTGACACGAGCACACTGTATTTATTACGGTGTATTTTGAGAATACACGCATGGCTTCAGTGAGGATGTGTCAGACGTATGCATATCTATGTATGCACTTATACCATCTTTCATCCCGGGGGGATTCTGAAACAGGTAACGTTCCAAGGACGTCATGCTTGTCGTAAGAACCGACTGGTGCCTTCGTCACCACTCGCCCCTTTCCGTAACCTGCAAGAAGACGCTATTCGGCTTGTCCCGGTATAACACGAGTTTTGTCACGAATGCGACTGGTGAGGATCGGATGTGTGACCTAGTTGACTGGGCGTCATCGTGCCTGTCATCGTGCGTGGGTCGTAGCTCATGCTGACAATCACACATGTACTTAGCCTCGATTATTGACACTCCGCTGTGACATCACTGGAATATTCCTAGTGCGATACATCAACATTTAGTGGCTCGCTGACTTGGTTGATGCATGTCATCGCATTGCGTGTATCGATGCTCATGATATCAATCACTGGATTATATGGTCCAGACTCGATTATTTACAGACCGCCGTCTTATAGCTGGAATATTGCTGAGTGCCGCGTAAAAAACAAACAAACAACAACAACACTCTCTCAACTGCAATATCGTTCAAATTCCGTGCACGTACTTCTCGGATCTGACCCTGCTTGTCACTGATCGGCGATCTTTGCGGTTACGGAAAGGGGCGAGGTTTGCCGATTGGGCTTTCCAGTATGTCCGTTTGTCGATACTCACGTTATCGACCACCGGTTGGCCCAATCCATGCTCGGTGCCCGTGGTTGTTGTATAGGTGTGGTAATCTGTAATATGGATATCCTTCTCCAGCAACTCGGACTGCGATAAGTGTAGGCTTCGCTACGCCCGTGTTACGGCGATGCAGCTTAAGGACAAACATAAACATGACTATGGCTCTACGTGTATTTATCCTGCACCTACACACGTCTTGTATGTCTGTGCTGAAGGAGTGCCTGGAGGTCCCCTCCAACAGAGACTCCGAGCCTAATGGTGCTTGATGTGGATCATTACAGCACTGTTCGGGGTTAACCGGTTCATGGTATACAGGATTAGAAGTCTGGGGTACGAGAAACAGCACTCTCGACAGGATTATAGCGCAAACGGTTAAGCTGTGATACTTATTCAAGTTTGGAGTGGTTGATGAGATAGATGAACGGCTTTTAAATGTGATTAACCCCGGCTGAAAATGTTTGTTAGAGTTGGTATGGTAGAATATATCCGATTACCAAGTCAACCAATTTTCCTTATCCGACGGGGCCAATCACAAGACAATAAACACAGACTAATGAAATATTTCTGAACATTTGGTCTCTAATATGGGTTATCAGAACTGGCTTTCTGTAAATCATAATGAACATGAAGATGAAGAACACTTTCTATTGAAATGTCCTCTCTCCAAAGATCTGAGACTAGAACTAAAATCATCACCCTCCCAGCTATACAACCAATATCACTATAAATACTACTAAATCCACCGGCGCCTTCCCCAAAAATATCTTCTTTTTCATTTAGAAAATGATCATGCAAAGAAAATATGCATCTCATCGGGACCTTGAAAAAGCAGTATTTCTATTACATTATGTACATCAGATTTTCTAACTTTATAACAAGACATGTACATGCTTTGTACCTTGCCCCTATGGGTGTTAATGTACAATAAATCTTCTTCTCCTTCTTCTTCTCCTTCATCTTCTTCTTCTTCTAAAACACCAGATAGAGGCTGCCTCGCGTTGGACAAACTTCGGATTAGTTAGTGTATTGTCCCGCATACGTCGCACACAAATGGATACGTCATATACGACATCTGAGTCGTGCGCCGTCTGATCAAACCTTGAATTAATTTGGTCCCACTGTCCTAGTGGCCATGTAGATCTAAGAACTGAATGTCAGACAGACGTTGTGTCCTAGCAGTAGTACTTCCGGACATAAAACCATGCTGTATGTTCGTAGCTACGACAGCCGTAAGTCTATGGTAAATTATAGACGTACGTTAAGTCGCTGCGCTACAAACGCTTTGTGAGTCTGGACCTGCAGGATTGGTTGGTTGGTTTGTTGATTAACGCCGCACTCAGCAATATTCCAGCTATATGACGGCGGTCTGCAAATAATCGAATCTGGACCACACAATCCAGTGATTGATATCATGAGCATCGATCCACGCAATTGGGAACCTGACCACCCCATCTCGTTGGTCGCCTCTTACGACAAGCATAGTCGTCTTTTACGGCAAGCATGGCTTGCTGAAGACCTATATCCCGGATTTTCACGGGTCGACCCTGCAGGAAGCTCTGTCCATAGTAGGACGTTGGAAACTAAACACGCCATAGTCCTGTCGACAGGGCCATTTCCTATTGGACCATGACAACTGTTACACCGGTTAACTGTTAATGTACAACATTATTCAAACCCAAGTCAGTCTTACCCTCCGGTCCTGCTCAACAAACAATAAAGTTCTACGATCCCCTACTTTAACATGACTTACGATTGTCACGCCGCTTTGTGGAATGAGGCCTAATGTTCGTCTATTTATACAGAATGCATATTAATAGCCCCCTGTCTCAAAACCTATAATTATTTCAACGCGATATAACGACCTTCAATTCTATGTAAACGGCCCATTGGCGAACTGTAGAACGTGTTCGGAATATATTATACTCTCTGACCCAGAGGTGGGTGCTGGAGGTGTCACGTGTTAAGTGGCCCGTTCATTTGAAAAAAAACCCATTTTTTTTAAAGAAATGTTTTCATAGACAAAGTGTTAGTATCAGTGGCCCCCGGCCAAGCCACCTCGTGACATTTTATGTGAACAAACACACACACCTCTTTTTTCAAACCCCGGACCAGCCTCTGTATTGGGTTCCATTGCGTACATATATGTTTTGTTAATATATCAACGTAGGGGCGGTCGGGTAGCCTAGTGGTTAAGGCGTTCGCTCGTCACGCCGAAATCCCGGGTTCGATTCGCGACATGGGAACAATGTGTGAAGCCCATTTCTGGTGACCCCGCCGTGATATTGCTGGAATATTGCTAAAAGGGCGTAAAATCAAATTCACTCTATATCAACGTGAACAGATACAGTTACTGATAGCAGATCAGAATAAAACGATATATGTTGATCATTTAGGGATTGTGTTTGGATCTGTCATCATGAACAGGCATGCACTTACCAAACTCATAACAATAACAACACACTAACTCCACCCTATAACACAGAAACAGACACAAGTGTAGTTATGGTGTTGACATATAACCCCCGGAGAAAAATCAACAAACTTCAACTATTCCCCAACACAATTAAAGTTCCTCGCATTCCTGATCTCTTTGTCAGATGGACCTCTAACACGAAGAAAAATAAAACTGACAGATCTCATTGTGACCTCACAATAGAGTGTGAACACGACATCAAACATATCACCTGGATCACAAACAACAGTCAGTGTAGTGTAATATATATGTACTGTGGGCACCGGTAACAATAATGGGGTATTGTTGTGTCCAGGAACGCTTTAGATCACCTGTGTACGTGTCTGTCTCGCTTCATGTGTGAGTAGGTCTAAGGCCATTGTTTATGTTAACAATTTTGAGGAATAACTGGTGCGTAAAAGCGT